AACATATCTCAGTTAATCTTACAAATATTAGAGAATCATTATCATTCATATCTAGTTCTGGAGCTCGGCTCCAAGAATTTAAACTATATTGCAGGAACAGTCAGAAGCGCCCAAGAAAGTTTCCAATTGACGTGAGACATAGGTGGAATTCTACCTATTTAATGTTGAAGGCATCACTCCCTTATTCGGAGCTTATCACGACGTACGTAAACAGTAAGAACGATCAACTTTTGATTTTCGATACAGATTGGCAGATTGGTGAGTATTTCTTTAAATTTCTAGAAGTTTTTTATAATGCTACTGAATTACTTTCTGGAGTTTATTATCCTACTATTCATTTAGCTTTACATTATCTATTTAATATTTCAGAAATATTTTCATATTATAGGGATACAGAACTTTTTGGAAACATAGTTAAGTTAATGGAAAATAAATTTAAAAGTTATTGGTCAGGTTGTCCTATGTTATATGCATTGGCAACCATTTTAGATCCTAGGCGTGGAGTAGATGGAACTGAATCATTGATGACTGCTACCGCAGAGAATTTAGGAATATATATGCAACTAACTATTAGTGACGCTAAGAAGATGTTAGAAAAGGTTTTTAGTTTGTATGAAGCAAAATATAGCACATGTAAAAAAGAACAGGGAACTTCGTCGTCAACTACCAGTTCGGGGCCTAAAGGATCGTCATGGAGTTTCTTGAAGAAGAAAGAGAAAACGGCAGGATCGTCCTCATCACAAGCGTCTACGAAACTATTCAAATATTTTGATGCAAATTTTGTAATCGATGACGACAAACTAGACATCTTACAGTGGTGGAAGAGCAAGACCGATCGTTTTCCAACACTGTCCATAATAGCTCGTGACATTTTGACAACTCCAGTGTCAACGGTAGCATCGGAGCAAGCTTTTAGCTCAAGCAACCGAATTCTTGATGAAAAGAGAAGCAGAATGCATCCAGATATCTTGGAGGGACTAATGTGCGTTAAAGACTCGGAAGATGCTAGAAGACGAAAACAACAATACACAGATGATTCGATGAAAGAATATTTTTCTAACTTAGAAATAACAGAATCTTCTGGAAGCACTTAGGTTTGTGATTTACTATTCCTAGCTACTACACTCTTTTTTTCTTCGCTAAGGTTTTGTCCCGATCTCCTCACAGGTTTTACTCAGTAAGGTTTTTAACGAGGCAGTCATTTATGTGTACTCATATTACATCAATTCAATAAAATCACATCTTTTGGGGCATATGATATATATTTTTAATTAAATTTAAAAAAAATACAAGGGCTGGGGCAGGCCCGTAAAGGGCCTGGGCCCAGGCCCGGCCTTGGCCCTTATGGACCAGGGCCAAGGGCCTGGATCGGGCCTGAGTTTTTCTTTTCAGGCTCGGCCCAGACATGGCCCTGCACTGTGTAGGGCCGTGCCTGGCACGGCCCAAGCCCTTAATGGGCCTGGTGTCAAGCGTGCTGTGCCAGCCCGGCACAGCACGTTTGACACCTCTAATCTAAACCAATTAAAGTTTTACTAATCAATACTTAAAAATAAACTAGTTAATTTTTAACTATTAAATTTAATTAAAATTATATTAAATTAAAAAATATATAGAATAAATGAGTGTTAAATAGATTTGACGCTGAAAATAAAAAATGATTGATAATACATACATTTTTTTTTTTTAGTTTTATAAGGGAAACTCCACAAAAATAAAGAAAAAATCAATAATAAACGAAGGGCAACATCGTCACACAACTCGAACTTTTTTTTTTTTTTTTTTTTTTTGCTCAAGGTTAGGAGAAACTTTCCCCTTTTTCCCCAAATATTTCTCTCCCAATCTTCTCTCTTTTTCGCCCTTTATGCGTGACTTGCGCAACATTCCAAATCTCATGCCAAACTCTCCTGATCCTCCTTCACTCATACCCTGCGCACCCCCAAACCCTTACCTGCGCACGTTAGCCCAACCACCTAATCCACCGCCACCGTCCATGGCGTCCTCTCGCCTTCCGCCGCCGTCGAAGCCCCTCGACCTCGACCTGACGATCGTCTCCGCCAAGCACCTCAAGAACGTCAACTGGCGCAACTTCGGTGAACTCAAGCCCTACGCCGTCTTCTGGCTCGACCCCGACCGCCGTCTCGCCACGAAGTCCGACGACTCGGGCTCCACCCGCCCCGTCTGGAACGAGCGCTTCACCCTCCCCCTCACCGCCTCCCTCCACGACTCCTTCCTCACCCTCGAGATCTTCCACTCCAAACCCTCCGACACCACCAAACCCCTCGTCGGAACCCTCCGGGTCCCACTCAAGGACCAGCCCGATCTCGACGACCCGAACCGAATCCGCACTTTCACTCTCATCCGCCCCTCCGGCCGCCCCCAGGGTAAGATCCGAATAAAGCTCGCCGTTCGCGAAAGGCCTCTCCCGCCAGATTACCATATTACCCCTCCACCGAGCTATTTTTACTCCACTGCCCCTCCCCCTACCCGCGACTACAGGGCGTACTCGCCCTCACCGGCGACTTCTCCGTCTCCTCCGCCGCTGTCGCCGTATCATTACAGCTCGTATCACGACGCGTATTCCGGGTATTACCCCGGGTACTACTCTAGCGCCCCGCCTCCGCCGTTGCATCCGAGGCCGTTCTTCGACCGGCCCGTGGGCTACGGTGGGCCCAGTGGGCCGTCCGCGCCCGTGGACTACTCGCCGTACGAGCAGAAGCCGAAGAGCGGGAAGATGGGGCTCGGGACGGGATTGGCTGCGGGCGCGGTCGCGGGAGCTTTGGGTGGACTCGCCCTGGAAGAAGGGTTGAAGTACGAGGAAGAGAAGATTGCTGATCGGGTCGAGAACGACTTGGCGGCGCGTGACGATTACAGCGATTATCACCGCCCTGAATATTGAAGTAATTTGGTTTTAGTTATGGTAAGATATAATGACTAATTTGAAGCATTAGCTTGCGTTTGTGGCGTATATGTTTATATATGTATATGTATATATATTTGTGTTGGCTTTGTGTGGGTTTTGGAAGTTTGCTGGGTGAAATGAAGATATGACAATATTTTATTGACGAGGATCTTTTGAATGCTCACGTGTTCTATTTGAAAGAAATAAATGAACTTGACTTTGGAATATCAGTATTTATCTGCATTTGTATTTCAATTTTGGTCCTGTAAATGCTTAAGGTCTGAGTTTGACAATGCACGAACACGAATCCAGATAGGTTTTTTGGGCTTTGGTGAATTGAGGTTGGTCTTATTTGAGAAAATATATATTTTTTTGAGTTTGTTTCTTCGTTTGTAAGCAAGATGATGATTCTTTAGGTATAGTGCATTGTTTGGTAGTTAGGCAATACGCAAATGTGGGGCTTTTTGGAGCTTTTGGGTTTTAGGAGGAGTTTTGTAGGTACATTGTGATTAATGTTGATTGTTGGGTGCATTTTGAAGGAGTTATGACATTCTTTGTCGTTAGTCTACCCTGGTTATGTCATGTCCGGGATGGGAAGGGCCTTTTTTTAAGTTATCCTATGGCCTTATTTCTCTCTTTGCTCTTTCCAAGAGAATGTTAAATTGGTATAAAGAGCTCTGAAGAAAAGAAAAAGATCTTGCCTTATTACAAAAACCTAGATGTTTGATTTTTAAGAACCTTAAGTCGCCTACAAACACAATGACGACAGGGAAAGTAGGTATCAGTAAACACCGTGTACGTATTATCTATCAGAGAATTGCAAGTGTAGAGAACTCGGGTCCCCATTATTTCTTTCTGGATGTGCTTTGAGTATATTGTTCTATTTAGATGATTAATTTCTCAAGTGTGAAGCAGTGAGGTTTTAAATTATGTTCCTCGAGCAATGAAATGGTAGTAAGTGCAACCTTAAGATCTGTTTCCTTCTTGACTAAGTTCATGAATGTGACTGAAGAAATGAAAGCTTGAGTTGAAGAACCTTGGTTTTTTAGAAATGAAAAGGTGCGCATTATTTTGCTTAGATACATATACTGTTTTAAAAGCATAGAGTGCAGTTTGCCTAAGACCAGTTAGTCTAGTGTTACTGGGGGGTTTGGGTGAAATGGGTTTAGGAGAAGGTTGTGGGTTCAATCTCATATTGTATTAAAAAAAAAAAAGCATAATGTTCAGTTTATGAAGATTTTTGACAGATCAGCCCATTTACTCAATTCTGGACCGAGTAGATTTCATGTAGCCATTACTTGTTCATGATTTATTGCTAGAATGAGACCTTTACGATGACTCCATCCATGTCCCAAAGTTTATTGATTTATAGGTACTTCGTTAATGGTGCTATTTCACACGTGTCAAGAGAGTAGATTTGCATCTTGATATATAGTAATATCTCTTAGTGGGTGTAATTCTTGCTATTCTTTTAGTGCTAAAGTTCCATGGAATTTGCTAGTGAAAAAAGAAATGTTACCATTAGGATTCTGGACAGTCAACTCTTTGTTCTTTATGCTGTGTTGGGTGGAGGAAAAGGAAATAGGTAGGAAAGAAATAGAATCCAGCTTAGGAAAATGTTAGGAAAATGAGAGTAAGGGGAAGATCATGGTCCTATTTTGTTTAGTATGGATTTCTTCCTCTTATCTCATGATATGGGGAGATATTCAAATTGAGGTTTTTTGAAGGATTTGAAATCCTTAACCGAATTTCTCTCTTATCAAACAACTATAAGTCCCGAGATCTATTCGATAATCCTCTCACCTTAGTTTTTCCTTCCACTTTTCCCTGTTACCAAACAAGCTTTTAATTATAGGGCTGGCAATTCGTGTTTGCGTGTCGTGTTCGGACCGGCACGATTATAGTAAATACGAACACGACACGATTAATAAATGTGTCAGAAACCCAAACACGAACACGAAACGCTAATAACACGGTTAACACAACACGACATGCGAACACGATTACTAAACGTGTCGTGACGGGCCGACACGAAAAAAATACATTTATGACCCAACTAGCAAAAATAGTGAAATTTTATATTGTATTCAAAACTATATATTAATTGACTACTTAATATAAAATCATGCATAATAGCCAACACACATTAAAATATTCAAGTATCAAACACATATATATGATACTACTAGATTATTAAGTATATATGTTTCAAAACATACCAATTACCAAACATCTAAAGAAGTTTGAAAACATAGCCAAATACATTTAAATAAGTTTGAAAACATAATCAAACATTTGAATGTTTAAGTGCATAAAACATAAAATAAATATAGGAAAATGTCTTCTTTGAGCCTTGAGGTTGAATGCCCAACTACGTTCTAAAAATCAAAATTAGTTTCAAGAGACTGAGTCAGAAGTAGGGTTTTATCTAATATATATATATATATATATATATATATATATTGTCGGTTAGATAAAGTCTTTGTATTTGAATTTAAATAAAATAGAGGATAAATGGTTTATCATTGGAGATAAGTTTTTTTAGGTTAGAGTTTATCTTTAATTAGAATATTTTCTTTTAAGAAGATAAGGTTTCTTCCTTAGCCTATTTATTCTTATTTTTTACTATTATGAAAATAATAGAAGAGAGTTTCTTTCTAGAAAATTTACACACACACACACACATATATATGTATATATGGGCTTAATAAACGGGTCGGGTCGGGCTGGGTCGGGCCGTGTCGGCCATATAACAGCACGTATAACTAAACAGGTTAAGCGTGTTAAATGGACTGGCACGAATCTAGCCCATTTATTTTTGTGTTATTCGTGCCAGCCCGTTAACGACTCAATTAATAATCGTGCAGTCTAAATTCATTTATCTCGTGTTATTTTTGTATCGTTTTATCGTGTCGTATCTGAAATTGCCAGTCTTACTTTTAATTTTGTTACGGTAGCCACGCTTTTTTAGACCAAGTGTTACTGGATTTGAATGGATGCCAGTTCTAGAATATTCATAAGGGATGTAAGAGACTCAACCTTCAGCCTAGGGGATGGTATTGCCTTAAAGTTAAGGATGAGTAAGCAAATAGGTCAACTTTTGGAACTGCTGCTACTGAATCAGTAGGTAAGCAAAAGAGAAACCTGGCGAATATGCTATGTATCAACACAATTTTTGTGCAAGACAATGAGTGGCGCTACACATAACCACTAGTAATTATCATGACTGATTTTTTTAATGAGTACATTTATATATCAATTTTGAAATTAATGACCAAATTCAAGGAACCTTTTTTTTTCTTTTTTGAAGGTGAAAATTAAGGAATGGCATATTAGTAATGTAGAAGAATTTATACATTTTGCCAAGTTATTGGTTAAAAGAACCAAGTTTCTAGGAGTATAATCACTGCTTAAAATATTTTAGTAGATTTCTAAGATAATTGATTTCCAAAAGAATTGAAACTGATAAATTAGTAATATACTGTGACCTTTTTTTCTTTTTTTGTTTAAAAGAAAATAATACTGTGATCTACGTATGGCGCATTTCTGATTGTCAAAAAGGATCATGCTAGTAGCGTAGTGATCACTGTATAAGACACTGTATTTATTAACTTTTGTGTGTGTGTTTATTGATTTATTTCTTTTTCATGATCAATGACAGCCCTCAAGTTTATGTCTTGTACTTGTAGCTTAACCCGCAAAAGATGAGTCAAAACACAGGCTTGACATAATTTTGAGTCCAGAAATAGAAACTCTGGCCTAATGCCAAAGGCAAATCTAGTTATTCATTTCTCATTGGGACCTGAAAATTAGACTTTTAAAAAAATTGTATTAAAAAGAAAATGAATTCCATTAAAAAAAAAATTAGACCTAAATTTATTTAAGAAAAATGGTATAATCTTAGAACTCTCTAGAAGTGGTATTCCTCTAATTCACCAATGAAAAGCTTCTTCATGTTTTTATTGAAAAACGATCTTCCGTAATGAACATATTTGTTTGTCTAAATTATTTTTGAGAGAGTTTTTGAACTTAGCATAGCTCTTAATTTTTACTCTTTATTCTTAATTAATACTCTTTTAATTATCATATTGTTTGATTAAAATGATTATATTCATGCACTTTAAGAGAGTATTTGTCTCCTTACTCTATTATTTTTTTTATATTGGTATACTATTGCTGATAGCACGGTAGACTACTGCCGACAGCACGGTAGGGTGCCATTGATAGTGCGGTAGCGGCCAAATATTTTTGGTAATATAGTGGACGATCTTCTTTATCATGGTATTATCTTGTAGACTGCTACTAGCACAAAGGTCTATCGATAGGATACTGCTGGTAGCTTGGTGTAATATATTATTTTAAACTTTTTAGTCTGGTTTGCAAGTGGTTTCTTTTTGAGAGAAAGAGAGAAATAGGTCAAGACTTAAGATGAATTAAAATTAATAGGTTAATAGTTTACATAAGTTAATAAATAAGCTAAATTACTATTTTTGTTCATAACTTATCTGGTTATGAATCATAACTTGATAAGTTATTATTCATAAATCACGGTTTTTATCCATAACTTATCTAGCTATGAACCATAACTTATTTAGTTATGAACTATAACTTAACAAGTTATGACTTATTAATTTCTATAACTAAAAGTTGGCCTATATACTTCCTTAAACTTTTCATATTGACATATTTTCAACTATTTTCGTTTTTTTTTCCCCCCAAAAATCAATCCAATGACGGTAATTGTCGCATTTATGTGAAGTCTTATTTCATTTTTCCTTTGTTTAATTTTTATTTTTTCAAAGAGAGAGAGTGCCACACAAATCACTCATGGATGGACAAGGCAGCGAGCATCTCTCTTCCGCCTTTCTAATCTCATGAAGTACCGTTTGGGTTTGAAGGCCCGTTCTACTTAGCTCAAGTTATAATTAGTTATGGCCAACAGTACTGTGGATTTTATTTTATTTTGGGTCATTTATGATAGAAGGATTCGTGGGAGATGCTTCTAGAACATTGACTTGGAATTAGAGCAATACCATTTCGACGGAGTTGGAATTAAATATATTATTTGTTGTGAAATTTTTCTCATTATGTACAA